CAGTATTATAATCCGTATCGTACTTCTAAAATGCTCAAGGGGTTACTATTTTACAATACTTGTTAAGGAGTACACTTTTGTGAAATACCCATTTTAGGTGTGAATTCAGGAAAAAAACAAGCGAAATCCTCATTTATGGTGTATTTTAGCTTCAGAAGAAATCCTTGTTTAGGGGATGTCTGGAAAACATGTGGTCTTGTATATGCAAATTTGTAAAAATTTGTTACCATCTAACTTTATATGTTTCTATTACCCTTGCCCAATATCATGAATTCCTACACCTCTTATTGTGTCAGCAAGATGTCACACATAAATCCCAAATGTGATTTCACAAGAGTTCTGATTAATTTTGTTGTATAAAGTGTTCATCTTGATGTAAACAGTGTCCTATTATATCTGACTTCAGAATTAATTGCCCCGTCTTGAATTTCATAAAGAAACACAAGCTTTTCTTTGTCAATTTTTTTTGTAGAAACCACATTAGATTGTGAGCTGTTAAATTCATCTGTAGCACTAAAAAGGTTAATGCAGGGTACATATATGTATAAACATGCAACTCTGCCCTTTGTATTCCCTTTCATTACCCCTTTTTCTACAATTGTTGATATGTTGTGTAACTTGTGTACATGCATTACATTTGCATTCTCTGTGTTGCATGATAGGAGTGCGTTTCCCACCTGAAGCTCTCCCCATATTCCAATGCCGAAGAGATTCTAAGCCACCATATGGTAGCTTTGTGACTACAGCCAAGCTACCCAGACGAGCTCTTGTTTCTGGGTGGTTTACCTCTATCTCTCTCAGTCTCTTTCTCTCTCTTTCTCCTTCGAGCAAGCCTGGATGGAGAAAATCTATCAATCCTACAAAACACATAGCAAAGATTTGATGAGAAATCACCGGCTAGAAACAATTACTATGATTTATTCTCTCACTCCATTTCCAAATGTTCACCACCATCTCTCTCCCTAACTCTTTCTCCTTGACTCCCTCTCTCTCTCTCTCTACATGTATATCTTGCTCTCCTCCCTCCCTTTACCTTCCCCCTTTACCTCCCCCCTTTTCTCTCTCCCCCCCCCCCCCCATCTCTCTTCTTAATCTCTCCCACTATCTCTATCTTCTTGCTCTATCTTTCTCTCTCTCTCTCTCCCTCTACCCCCTCCCTTTGTTTGTCTGTCTCTCTCTGTCTTTCTGTCTCTCTTTATCTTTCTCCCTCTCTCTCCCCCTCTCTCCTGGTGTCCTGTCTAATTGTCCCTCAACAGGCTCATGCAGTTGCCCAGCCCTGATGCCCCTTCCATACACCTGCCAAACTGTAGGGGGCCTCAAGAATTGGTTGGATTCCCGCGTGATCATACATGCACGTCTGGGGGGACCAGCTGCATAGCTACAGGCCAAAGACACTCTACGCTGCATTACGTTTTATTGCTGAATTCCATTACGAGAGTCATCCATGTACAGTGTGTATTTGTGTATGCAGAGTGTTGTTATATTGCAAGCATACCTGTGTATGAAACATATCTTGTGCAGGGACCTGACGTGTTGGAAGGAGGTTACAAATCTATTTTTATAGATGGAGAACAACAGGTTATTCATCTTAGCAGAAACTAATAGTCTTTCACAAGTCTTACAACAGCAGAAAAAGAGTAAAATTTGCCAAACTTTCCTGTATCACTGAGTTTTTCTTCATCCTTATGGTATCTGAATACCGGTAAATGAAATCTGCAGTAATTTTTTTTTAATTGTTTCATATCTTCAGTAGAAGGGAGTCAAACTGAAGAGATTAAAACACTATTTGAATCATGTAGAAATAAATTATAAAATAATTTTCTGACCAATATGCAAAGCACTACATGTGCTAATTTTTCATTTCTTAGCCTCGTCATCAAAACAATCATTGTAAGAACTTTATATTTAGAATTGCATATAAAGAATATCAATTAAATCCATATATAGGATGAGTATTCTACGGTCTAAGATGGGAGGAATTGACGAACTACCAACAGTATTCTTGGTAGGAAGGAGTTGGCAGTGTCTATATTACGTCACATTAAAACACATACAATGGGGGTGATAACACCACCATACAGCACCATAATCTCAGAGGAATTCCCATTTACACACATGACAACTCAACATCCACACATGCAACATTCAGAATACCAAAGGTCACCGCCTCATGGACGCTCCAACATGGGGAGGGAGGGTTCAATTATCAGATGCCTTGTGAAACCTTAACCCTTGTCTTATAAAGCGTCTTGATATCAACTGTAATTACAGGGCAGCTAATCCCAGCCAGTCTAAAGGAAGATGGTTAATGAGTACTAAATAAAGGTGACACTTTTTAATGGAATTGATGCTATAGCTGGAGTAATTAAAGATGGGAGAAGGGAAGTCATCGTCCCGTTAGGTGGCTCAGGGTTTGAGAGCTTGCCTGAGAGAGAATTTGCTTTTCTTGGGCAATTATGTCAGGCCCTTAAGACATTAGGCATGATTCATGGCCCTCAAAATATTTTTTTTTTAATATTAGGATGAGGAGAATAAGGTGGTAAAAGTCAACATGATAAAGTATCTCCTTGGCAATCTGAATGAGAAATTAATATGCTTCAAATGTCCAATCACATTTCAATTCCAAAACAAGGAATTGGATATGACACGTACTCTGCTAAGAGCTCCGCACATTGTAAAAGGGCAGTAACTCTTTGTAAAGTGATTAGTTAATGCCGTTCTGGCTCTAAACCGACTATGAATCAAATAAACTACAAACCCCATCTACATTTATGCATCATTGCATTTTATATGGTACTCAATGCCAAAACTAGCTAAATGAATTTGGTTTCTTAGGGGCACATCAGGAGGAGGATAATTAATGCGTACTACTATAAATTTGAAAGATGTCAGTTGGTCTAGTGATCTGCTCTCAAGTCTGCCTCAATAATGGCCCATGTTCAATCATGATTTGCATCTTTTACTTTGTGATGTTAAAGGTACTTTGTCTATCTAGACATAGCACTCCAAACCATCAAATAGTTAAAAAGAAAATTGTGTGCAACAACAAAGACATTTTGACTTGTTAATGCATTTTTAGCATACTCACATACTTTATAGAGTATTTTTTTCATCTTAGACAATAAGAGCATATTTTCCATGTGCCCTCTGTTTGCATTACCTGTGATAGTCAATGCATAGCCTGATAGCTTTCATTCCAATGAATGAAAGCTATAGGGTCATCAGAGCAAATATAGAATCAGCAGTGATCGATTTAATCAATAATCTGATATATTCAGTTTGGTCTATTTCAAACAATTTTAGGTCAAGGTATTATACACAACTATGATCATGTGAGCAGTGCAAATAACGAGTACACTCATAAACGCTAGCAATCCGTGTGATCGATGTGATTGTGTACTTTATGTTATCAATGACTGAACTGTCTACAAAGTGAGTTAGAGAACAAGGCTTGTGTACACAAATGTGCCACTCAAAGCTATGATATGCACGTGCCTTCATAAACTACAAAGGCCTTTACACTTTTATACGTCAGTCACACTAAGAGACCAGCACGAGACTGACAACATTACCGGTACGTCAAGGGCCAAGAATTGGTCGGTTTGGCATCAGTTTAAAGATAGTTTAACAGTGTGACTGAGGTTTTACCTCATTAGGAAACTGACTGGAATTACACCCACATTCTGGCCAACGCTCGATCACATTTATGTAAGCACTTGATCACAAACTCAAACACATAGTCCCACGCAAAGCAAATACAATGGCTGCAAGTTACTTGTACCATTGGCAGGCAGGAAGATTTTTCCACCAGTAATTTGAAGATGATCCCTTAAGCATAACGTTCATATCCATGTCAGTTTAAATAAACAGGGGAAGGAGAGTAATACATAGATATGGACATACACACTCTCTCCTTTTCTCACTGTCACTCAAACCTCCCCCTTGTGCTAAGAACCTGCAGACATACATCCACTCACATAGATCTACCCTGCCTGGCATACACACATTGGAACACAGCTAGGCATATAACGGAATAAACAACCTTTCTTTTCTTCTGTGATACTTAGCTGGAATGATATTATGTCAGATGGTGCACATCATCCAAACTCGTCCCTTTGAGAGATCACAGAATATAGGCCTATCAATATTGAATCTTGTATCAATACAATGTTCCCTAGTCAACAAGAGTTTGATTTAACATAGTAATAAAAGGAATCAGGAGGGAAAGTAACAAAGAGGAGGAGATATTTAGGTGATAGATCAATGCACAATTCTGAAATTGTTAAGACCATTAAAAAATCTGGTCAACTGCAATTGAGCAGAGTGGTACGTTATAATAATAACAACAATAAGAAGAATAACAATATTGGATATTTATATAGCGCACATATCTGCCACACAAGGTGCTTAAAGTGCTCCACTATTACCCAATATTACTGGTACTAATTTAATACCTGGATGGAGCATGGCAAATGTACATTAACATATTGCCAAAAAGACATTAGTGCCACAGCGGGACTCCACAGCGAAACGGCTGATCTACAATCCGATGACGTATACACCAGACCACAACACCTTTACATTATTGCATATTAAATTAGTAAAGGAGTTGAGCTGCCATAATGTTCTAAGATGATACGTCTGCGTATTCAGCCCCTGGTTTTTTATTAAAATAATTATTCTGTGTTTTTCTGTAGAATGTAAATTTTCCCTTTTTCAAAGAAACTACCTTTCACAATTTGTCTTAATCAGACACAAGCACATTTCACACTTTATTTCCTTTTCAATTGTGATTCCTGCTATCAAAGCAGGCATTCATGATGTATCTAGGCAGCCAAAAGCTCTGCAGATCATGTGCAAGTTGTATTGATTTTTTCCCTGGGCCTTCAAACAGGGGAGGAGGGCTACAAGACTTTCAGCCTGTGCTGGATATTCTTCTAATTCATCACCATGACATATTATTAGATGAACATATAAATAGTTGTCTTGGAATAACTTACTCTTTGGGCTTTCCTTTTATCTGCTCTTTGACTCTGATGGTAGATTCGGCTAAAATTGGAGACGATAACAGGAACTGGCAACGCTATTACAAGAACCCCGGACAGTGCGCAAACTCCACCTACAATTTTACCTATGATGGACTGCGGCACGATGTCACCATATCTGCATGGAAAAAAGAAAGAAAAAGAGAACTTGATTAATTCATTAATTGGAGATAATGGTGCAAATCTTGACTCAGCCAACACTAAATAATAGTTAAACATGGCACATGTGCATTTGAACTAAAATGCAGGGTCAATATTTTTACAATAGACCTTTTTGCTAATTTATTTCATTGTTTGAATGTTTTTCTTGAGAACCCTTGAAGATGAGCTATGTGTATTCAATTCACCTGTGTTGTAAAAAGTACATGTATGGATAGAATAAAACTTGCAGACATGAAATGTTTTGGAAGCATTCAATGTATCAACAGCTCGTTATTATTAAAGCTCGTGTTGTTAAAGCAGCATGTGTTTGATTGACTTCTTTTGGAAGTCTACCCTTCATTGTATGTTATTTGTGCACAAAACTTTTTCTGACAAAGTTTATAGTGAAAGCACTTGCAGGATGTTTTGCTTGATAAAAACATTGACCTGGGGTGTAGAAAAGTGTACATGTAGACCCTGACAGAAAAGATAATTCATAACTTCATAAGACTTGCATTTTTCCATAACCATTTCATTATCTATGAATATCTAGCCCTGCACATTAGCAATTTTTTTCAGGGAGAGAGGGGTTGTTCTAGTCAGGACATTTTTCTTTGGGAGAGCTCTGTTCACTTTAATTTCCTCCATTGTAGCATGCAAGGGCCTCATGGTATTACTCGTTGGTCTCTTGTAAATGCCAATGCCATTATCTGGGCAATTTACCATGCTCAATTTGAGCAGGGTAATATCAACTATATTGATGGATATATAGCCCCATGATGTTGAATCTGTTTGAGAAACTTAGAGAATAATGTGCAATTGGCATCGTCCAAGAGATCATAAACATTCTATTTTCAGCCAAGCATTCAAACACAGTGCTCCATGTCATTTCTAAGATGAGTTTTTTTTTAGATCATCTTTTTAAAGTTTCAATGAAAGACTGTCATAGTTATGTTACTAAAGAAGATACCTCTTGTTTGTGAAAAAAATTACTTTTTTTCCATTATACATCTTAATGTTGATAGTGCTAATAAAACGTTTTGAAGTATACTATAACACTAAGGGGAAGAGGGAGGGGGATTCAAGCTTGTCTACAAAGAGTAAAGTCTATGGCCTGAGGCCTCAAATGTTGATAGCCATTTGTTTTTGTTTTTTTTGGCTCAAGCAAATTTTGTTCAATTGTACCAACTTTTTAATGCAAACTTTATACTGAGTAGTCAATCAAACAGCAGGGGATGAGACAAGTCATGAAAAGCATGCTACCATGATTGTTTGATGACATTATGTATCCCTTTTTATTGCACATCCTGTTTTCTTAACATTCTTTTGTAATACTTGTTTTTATTCAATTGCACAACAGGTGACATGAAAGAAAGGTTTATTTTGAGTGAAACTGTGAAGGTCGACTGATGAATTAACCCTGTGTCCACACGCAAAAAATTCACCGTATACACCTGTAGCTATCCTGAAACAGTATAGCTATACCGTTTCGGGATAGCCATACAATGAAATTATGTGTATACGCTTACCAACGATACGTCGTATAAAGAAACGTCGTATAATGAAACGCGGGTCTGGGCATCATTTCAAACTAGACCTCGATAAAGAATCACAGAATGTTTGGTGTGTGGACGTATGGGCTTAACCTGACCGTCCACGAAAGGAGACCTGGGCCCGTCTTACAAAGAGTTGATATTGATCCGAATCAATATCAAGTCCTTCAATCAATCACAAGTCTGTAGTCTCCCATCTCTTATGTACATAGTTGTGATTGACATCAATCACAAATAAGTTGCGATTGATATCAACTCTTTGTAATACAAGGCCCTAACCTCTCATTTCCGCTTCTGTTTCATGACCGTGGCACAGCACAGTAGCAAACTGCGCACCCTTACACGTTTCGCTGTAGAGTTTCGGGATTACTTTTTCTTGTGTGTGGACGCCCTGTTCACTATACGATGATTCTTTATCAACGTTTATTGTGTGTGGACGCCCTGTTCACTATACGATGATTCTTAATGCAATGTTTCTTTATAGAGTTTCAGGATAATTTTATTTGTGTGTGGACACACTGCAAGTCTCTTGAAAGATGCATGTACAGTACATGTATATATGCTTCAATTAAGATTTTATAAGATTGATAATTGATATATAGACAAATTTCCCTAAAAATAACACACACCCACACACACACACATAAAATAATATTATGGAGGAATAACAATTCTTGCCATACTAGATAATTAACACAGTCTCAAACAGTATATTAAAATAAACAGCTATGCCATTTTACATTGAAATGAAATTCAAAAAATATGATCAACTTCGATCTACTGTAACTTGGGGAAGAAATGACTACGCAAATACTTAATTGCAATTCCTTCCCGCCAGTACACTTAAATTATCTATGTACATGTAAGAGGAGCGTTATCGTAACGTGAATTGTATTTATATGAGATGAGAGTTAGAGAATCATGTCTATCCATGCATGGGGGAGAGCACCTCATGCAGTGCATTTTCGTCAGCAGTTCTGCTCTGTTGCCTCAGTTTTCAATCCATATACTTGAGGATGATATTATTGGGTCTGGCAGCCTTAGCTGTCTTTTCTTTTGATGACTGAACCCCTCTTGTTGCCTATCCCGTTCCCCCTCCTTTTCCTATCATTTTCATTCATACTGATAATTGTGAGAATTTTGAAGTTTGAAGAAAGTACAAATCATTGCTACATGTAGAAAATTTGTATAATCTAAAAGGTTTGGTAATGCAATAATTGTATCATAAATAAATATTAAAAACAAACCTTAACCTACATGTAAATCCAAGAATAAACCATGATATTCTAAAGCATTACATTATTAGCCAATATCTCTCATTTTCAATTGATATGGTATAGTGAATATGTAATAAATATAGCTAGTAACTGTCAGCGAATTCAAGCATTTTGCCAAAACATTCTAAAGATGAATAAAAAGATCTCCCTAAACGTGTCCATCACGTGAAAGGAACATTTCATGTCAATACTATGTTTTGCAGACACAGATCTACTGCAAATAGTCACACAGGAGAATGCTCCAGGTCCTCAAACAGAAAAATGGCAAACATTTCCACACACAAAGGAGATACAGAATTACATGTACAACGGAAGTAATATTCATAATATTCTTTTGGAGATTCCACCTCCTAACAAATATAACATGCAAACATAATTTTGAATATATCTTATCTTTTCTCATATCAAATATGTAAAGCTATTTGCTACTGAAGCAGTGTATAATGAAGAACTACAAAATATCAGTTACTTAATTGTTTTAAGTAGCATACATTTTCTCTCTATCCCCCTTCTCCTCTCTCTCTCATTATCCTTCTAGCTCTGTTTCCCTGCCTTGACTATCTCTGAGGGGTGTCCCAACACATCTCTTCTGCCATCCCCCATCTATGTGCCTCTTGCCCCAGGTGATGAATATGACGCTAAGTGACACCACTCTATTGAGCAATATGATATGAGTATATAGCAGGCATAGGCATGATTGGGTAGGTGGCTGAGAAATGACTTACGGGAAAAGAGGAAATTAAATGTCAATTTCCACGCTTCTACATCACAGTGTTTTTAGGAGCTGTTTCTTTGAGAATGTCTTGAGCAGTAAATCGATTTGAGAATTGTTATGTAAGCAAAGTAGCAGAGATAGGAAGACTGAAGGTTCTCAGATTCAATATCACATTTCGATATTTTGGTTAAGTCAAAAAATCTGTATAATGTGTAAAGTCATAATCAAACATATAATAGAAGTAATTTAAAAAAAATAAAAATAAAATTATGTTCCAAGTATTTATTTCTTTTACTGATTTATTCATTCCTAAATTGTCTTTTTTCTGCATTACAGCTCAATAAATAATAAATAAATATGTAACAAATGAAATTGTTTCTGAACTGCAAACTCATAGACAAGGTTTTATAAATATTTGACAAACTAAAGCCCCCACCACACCAAACTACATGTAGTTCTCACTACGTTCTGGAAGCATCTTAGTCTTGGTCGGGGCAGAATGTGTAAAAAATGTCTATAATACGATCCTTGTTCGTTCATAAACAGTCCTCAATATGTTCATCTCGTCTGTATCCCGTCCAGTCAGTTCATATCAAGTTCAGATTGGGTAAATTTGCCATTTCCAGGCAGTCAAAGCCAGTCCGTAGTCAGTTTAAACCCATTATTAACTAGTTCTACCTCGTTCCCAGTACATGTACGTCCAAACCCATTCTAACTAGTTTGGCACTTTTTCTAACTAGTTTTTACCCCACCACCCAGTTCAGAGACAGTTCAACTCGTCCTCATCTCTTCTTAGTGCGTTCTCGTCCTGGCTATAAAAACCCAGCGCGTTCTCGCCATTTCTTATTCCCGTTTAACTTCAACGCTTCAAGCTTTTCAGATCAAGACATTCAAGTCAAGCCCCCATCACACCAAACTAGTTCTCACTACATTCTAGAAAATGTTGCCAAACAGGCTCCAACTGTGTTCGAACGGAGTGAACGTATTAGCAACTATTTACAATCTTTTTAAGAACTTAATGGACGGGTTTGGACTGGCTTGGACGGGAAGGGTGCTCTAGAACTTTGAGCCTGTACAAAATTGTCCCTGTCCTGCAATTAGGCGGAGTGACAACGTACTTAAAACAAGATGGACGTACTTCAAACAGATTTGCTGGAGATGAACGGAATTGCCGTACTTCGATCCTACTAGGAACGTGTTACAACGTGATGTGGTCGAGCATCAATTAGGAAAAACGCGCTGGGTTTTTATAGCACTCCAACCAGGATGGGAATGCACAGAACAAGATGAGGAGGTTGAACTGTCTCTGAACAGGGTGGTTGGGTTATAAACTAGTTAGAAGAAGTTCTGAACTAGTAAAAATGGTTTGGACTGCTTGAAAATGTCAAATTTACCCGATCTGAACTAGATATGAACTGACTGTGGACGGGTA